TGCGATATGCATTCCATACTAGTATCTCATGAAACCTGGATACGAATTCAAGTTTTGTTGAACTTGAATATGTCGATTTTTAATTTTATTTCTTTAATTTTATTCATTAAAAAATGGTATATGTTCAACTCTCCTGTCCTGTGATATAAATGGAATAATTGTAGTTTCTTTCATGTCATCTTTTCAAACGAGACAGTATGTGGCCGTGGGGATACATCGACATTTGCATTAGATGTACATACACCCCTCATGATATTGTAAGCATTTCTTTCAATGTCGTCGCTTCTAAAGTTAAAATGAAAATTCCGTATTCGCCCACATTAACATCAAAATATCAATAATTAAACTCTTCATTTATTTCAATTTATAACAAATCGCACATTGATATTTTTAAAAATCTTATAGGCTACGTTTTGTTTTGATTCGAGGAAATGCGAACCGACATTGTTGACAGAAAGTCAAAGTTAAGATTTGCTGCAATAGGATATTCATAAATGTAGATTTCAGTACAAGTAAACAATTATTTTCAATTCTATACTTACATTGTGTATGTGAGGTCTATAGTATTCAATTCTCGGATTTATCAGATCTTGTTGTAAATGTATAGATTGATTCTGTGGAAAACCGTGAATAAAGGGAGGAAAATAAACATCTCCTACATTTTCAGAGTTGTTCCTCTTTGATCAGTAAGGGTCTGAGAACAACATCGATTTTACATTGTAAAAAGTTTTTTGTTTATTTATTGTTGTTTTATTTAATTAAAGAAGAAAAACAATATTTATATCGCGTATGCACAAATTGTAATGAAGACCATTAATCGGAATGTTATATAGCCAATTGTACATAATGAGAATTTCGGCAATGTAAAATAAAATTTTCTGAATTAAAAAAAATGCTGCGCTTTGATCAAAAATACAATTTATTGTATATGAAATGAAATGAAATAAACATTAAGGGATGGTATTTTATGTCTTGCTTTTTACGGAGTTTAATCGGGTTAATTTAAAAAATACTAATTGATTGAGTATGGTACGCACAATCACAGCCAAGCCCCATATCGAAATTTTCTTTCATGATCGATATACAGTTTACATCGGGATCGTTTTACTCGTCGTTTTGACGCTTTATTTTTGACGTTAAATTTGACGTCACGTCAAACGTTCCATTGAAATCGCAAGAGTTATCTCCCCCAGTGTGTTGTACGTCTTTAAAAATAATAATAATTTAACAAGTTTCAAAATATTTTTCGGAAGGCTTTTTCATACGTAGCACAATAGATTTGTCTTACCCTATCGTTTTTTAAGCATAGAAATTTATTTAAATTACAAAAAAAATGAATAAAACTCATTTTTTCTTAAAATACATATAGAGAAAAATCAAGGAAGACTCCTTTTGCACAGAAAAAACATCAATGAAATAGATTACACTAAAAAATTAAATTAAAATTTGATGTACTAATGTAGAAGAAATGTTTTCTAAATCTTTTGTTTCAAAGTTCCTTTTTGAGCTATCTTTCCTGTATCCCGGGACTCAAAAACTATGGCAAGTCTCCGCATATGTCACGATACTATAGTTTGTCCCACCATGTTACTGTTAGCACTTTTCGCATAATATCTCAAAATATATAAATACCTTAGCTTTCAACCCCGTTCCGATCGATAGATCATTTTTTCTTCCAACCTTCCTCTGTTTATCCGAACCCTCGAGGTCAACCAGTGTATACACACGGCGGCAAATTCAAAGTCTACGGAGATTTAACATTGTCAAAATGGCCACCATTTCGGAAGGGGATCATTCATTGTTCGTAATTTTCCGTACGTTGCCGTCAGTAAGGAAATGACATCACACACGTTCGGGAGTGCTCTATGGTTATCGACGTCCGAAAAACCTATAACGCCCGAGACTTCCAAGTAGGATGCATGGTGAACTCACCCTATATATTTATACTACAAGAAATATTACGTCTTCAACAAAACTTTTATATCCAGACTGAGACCCAAGGGACCAAAGATTCATAAAAGGGTTATTCACTGCATAAAGGCAAAGAGGTATAACTCAATTCATACATAACATTTCGATAAAATAATCGAGGCTAGGCTACTGCAAATTTAGCTCAAGTGAAAATAGTTTTATAATTTATAGCCTGCACGTAACATTAGAGATCAATCAAAGTAATATCAGAAGTATTAAGATTTTTTAAAAATTATAATTGCTGCTTTACCGTCTCATCTTAGCTTTCCTTATAAATCCAACTCCTATATGTTTTTTAAAAAACTGCAACACACGATCAAAATAAGTATCATATTATCGTTTCTATGTCACAGTATGTGAACAAGTAATGTCCTCATATGCACATGCCACAGTATTTCCTGACTTTGTTATACTTCCAACTCTTTGAACACAGAAATCCTTCGTTAATATTTTATTTTTAATCTTAGTGCAAAACAACGTTTGTTGTCTGCATCAAACTACGTCACCAATGAATTTTGACCTTGCCCTTCCAAACCTTCCTCTAATATCGGTGTTAGGTAAATTCAGATCCAGGATATATATATTTTTGTTTATCTTAAATATAACAAAATACCAAAATTTAAGAATATTCCTATACACAAAAAATTAAAATACATAAAGCAAGTGTGAAGGATTATGATTTTTTAAAATATATTATAATGTTTTCCCTTCTCTAATTCAATAAAACAATTTAACAGATAGCATTTTAATTTTCATGAGTTTTCAAAACAAAAATTTTCATTGCAGGAATCTGAATAGCTGCCTGGTGCAACTACAAGATAGAAAAGCACAAACATGTACATTATGTATATATTAAGCCATAAGTACCTGCAGATACATGTATATTGAAGGTATGAAATAATGCAGGTTTCTTGAGTTTGATTTTTGAGTCACAACAATTTTTTTTTTCTTTTTGTAAACTATTTGTAAATTTTCAAAGTAAGATTATTCATTGACAGTTCCCTAGTACACAAACATGCATATATGCCTATATCATATACCTAGTAGTGTATCAGCTCTGATACAGAAGTTTTGGATTAGGTGAGACAGTGCCTGGTAAGGCCAAAAAAAAAAAATAATTGTCTTGTTTCCTGCTACCAGCCTGAAAAAAATTGGGTAGGTAGGCAGGGAAATTATTTATTTTTTTAATTTCTTTTTATTTTCGATATGAACTAATACAAAACCAAATTAAACATGTCATAGACCAATATTTTCATTACAAATTAAATTTTGTCTTTTGATGCATGACTCAAGTAGTATATGTTATGAAAGTCCATATTTAAAACATATAGTATCATAAAATACCACTTGAATATACATTATTATTTTTCAGTTTTGGAACATGAAATTACAGAAATTCCAGATTTTTTCCAAACCTAAAAAACTTAAGGTCAGTTGCGAAAAATGAAGGTAGGTTGGGTAACAGGAAACAAGACTATTATTTTTTGGGGTCTGAGTAGAGCTGTCTCGCCCTCGGGGGTTGAGATATCTCTGTCTCGGGCTCTCAGCCCATTGTCATGGGGCTGTCTCGCCCTCAAATGTCAAATCATTATTTCTGTTTATTTGTGTGAATTAAGAATAAAATTCATATTTAAGTAAAAAATTTTATATAAAAAATTTGTCTAGAATCTTTGAAAATTATTTATTTATGGTAGAATATTGAGAAAATTGTTTTTAAAATGGAATCATGTCTTAAATAGGCAAAGTAATTTTGAAATACTTTTACAGTAAAACTTGTTTAGAACAAACACAGATATTGCGAATTCACAGATATAGCGAGGTAACCTTGGATCCCCAGCTATGTAAATTAATGAATTCCTTATACGGATAAAACAAATTATGGTTATAGCAAAGAATTTTCATAGGTCCCATTGACTTTTCTTAAACAGAGTTTTACTATATAAGGTTAACATTTTGACTTTTTACAAGACCTTTCTAAGAACTTCAAACAACCTTAAAGGACATTGAGAAGTTATAAACATTATCATGATAAAATGAAAACTGTTGCATGAAGAGATTTAATTTTTCAAGATTCATTTTGAGATTCTGAATTAAATTCAGAGGATCTAAGTACCTTAACAGATTTTTAATAAATCTTGTAAAATTATAATTGCTTGAAACATAAAACAGTTTTAGATTATAGGATAAACCAGTTTGTTTGAACTGTTTTCAACATTTTATTAAGTACAATTTAACAATATTTCAAAAGATAAATGAATTGTTTGTCCTATATTTAAGGCTATTAGATCAAAATCAGAAGACTAAATGTCTGTAAAAGTCAAGTGCCCACTGATGCTGGAGTCCATGCTGTAGAAAAGACATGAAACAGAAGTGAGAAAATGTCGACATCAGTCATCTATGAAGATGGAGATGTCTCTATTCTAAAATTTCCGAGGAAAATGGTGTTGTCTGGCTCATCCAATGATCACTCTATTTGCAGACTACCAGGTAATCTTTGGTTTTGTCAATACTTTGTGCCTGAAAAAAAAATTAATGATAAAACATTCGTCATAAAAATTTCAGTGCGTAAAAAATACTTTTAAATTTGTGCAAAGTGAAATATAAAGATACAATAAAAATTCAGATCGTGCTCATCATATTAAGAGCCATTCTCTATAAGCACCAAAATTTGATGGAAAGCCATAGTCACCGATTTTAATAAAACTTTGGTAAATTAATACATACTACTAGTCAAGTATACTGGTATATGCAAAATGACGGGATACTGCTGTTTCCATGGAAACCAGCAAGTCATACTTTTGTCACATTTGCTATTATTTCCTTTATAATTAATGTAGCTGAAACTCATAAACGCAGCAACATAATTCAACAAAACTAATCCTGTAAAAAGATTATACTTATATAAGTTAAACTTAAAAAAATTGGAGGTGTGTTATTTAAAATAAAGAAAATAAAGCCTTGTAAATTTGCTGTTTTTCAAGAGAAAAGTGCTAAATTTTATCAAGAGTTATTTCCCTTCGTGTAACTCTTTTGTGATTCCTGTGAAAAAAGGAACGTTTTTTGCCAGCAGAAGACTTTCAGATTGGTTTGCTGCTTTGTTTTTACTACAAATTCCACTTGTCAGAAGATGTATTTAATTTGAATTCAGTTGATATGAATAATAAGGACATAATACTAATAGAATGTGGTATTTTCCCGTCCAGTTCTGAAAATAGGGAAATTTGATCCACACATTTTTCTCTGCCGTTGAAACAAAACAGTGACTGAGTGATGTACGAAGAAGAAATTTGGTGTCAAGTGCCATTCCTTATTTTAAAAAAAATCTGGTGAATCATAATTCATTCCATGAGAAGCAGAAATCCAACAGACTGATCCCTGAGTCAATGGTGTACTCAAAATACACAAAGGCTAGAGGACTTGTTCTTCCTGGAACCTGTGAGTATTGTACAGTCAGTGTTTATTAGTATGTACATGTAATATAGTGGAAGATTTATTATTTTAAAGTGCACATTTCTGTCTTTGAATAAATGTCCTTATTAGGGTTTAAATAACATGATTAATGTTTAAACAAATGTTAATATAAATTTTGATTTAAAAAATGGGTTAGGGGATGCTTAAATTATTTTAACAAGCATATAGTACTTTTAAAAAAACTATATTAAAACAAGATTTGTATGAATGATGTATCTTTTGATTATCAGCTCAAATAAAGTTAAATCAATTTGAATTTTAGCTCTTTGCACCAGCCTGTCTCATGAAGTTGAATGCTCAAACAATATGAAGAGGGTGAAAATCTAGCTGACAATCAAAACAGGAAATGTGATCAGGTTTGTAATTTATTATTCATTATGCAAGCTATCATTCATAGTTTAATTTGTCATTTATAAATTTCATAATTATAATAAACAGTTTAAAAGTAAACAGAAAACAAATTGAAATAAAGATGTCTTTAGTGAAAAAAAAATTATACAAGACATCATCTAACAATGATTACAAGATTTCTGGTACATATGTGGTCTATTGGAAATATAGTAATCAAAAATAAATTATATAATTTACACCCAATAATTTAATTTATTTGATAAAATATTTTAGCATTATATATGTTATGTGTATTTTACAAAGTTCCAGGATAAACAGTGTTGTAACAGTAAATACTATGTTTTTGTCACTACAGTAGAAGGGGTGCTTATTGTGCTTATTTATTTTAGGCTCAGCCACACCTTCATGAACATAAAGAGCTACTTCATTCAAGGCCATGATATGTTCTAACAGCTGATTTAATGAAAGAGGTACTACAATAACATATTGTAGATCTCCATTGCAGGAGAAATGCCACACCAGAATTTTAATAGATCTTTTAAGACATCCCTTTTAAACTATGCTTCTATCAGCCTTGAGAGACCTGGGTATTAGCTTTTAATTATTTTATTCAATTTATTGGACATTTTTCAGAGAAAATAATTTTAAAAACTTTTATTTGCAAACAAAATGCTTATGGTTTAAAATCTGATGTAATGTTTATTAATAAGTGAAAAATATGAAGGTCTATATTGCATGGTTAAAATCTTCATAAAACTATTGTCACAACTAAAATGAACAATTTTAGAAGTCAGTCATTTAAAAAAAAAAAATTGAAATTAAATAACAAAATATTTAAGAAATATTTTTTTGTTAATATTTTGACCAATCCTGATCAAATTTAAATCATACTCAGGACAATTATCAAATTATAAATAGAGACATCATTTTCTTACCTTGTTTTATGTATTTTAGCTACTACTAAGAATTTCATTTGGTTGTCAAGGTCATTAACTTTTTAACCCACATTACATACAATTTTATTTCAACATTTTTTTGTCTTAAAGATCTATGAAACAAAATTATGATGATGCATATTTCCTTCTTTTAATTTGCACTACACTGTATTAACCAGTACTGGTGAAGTTTAAACAGATCTGATTTTAAAAGAGCTGTAAAAAAAGTATGTGAGCCAATGCACAATAGTAATACCTGTGTAAATTAATAATTCCTGGCAGGGCCTTAGAACTTGTGTTTTCGAGGTCAAAGACTATTTAAGGAGGGAGGAATGTAGAAGTTCGAGCTATACGGACCGTGGATATCAGCCTGGATAGCTCAGTGGTTAGAACACCTGAGTCCTGACTAGTAATGCAGGGGTCACGGGTTCGATTCCCGGTCCAGCCATATGTTTTCTTCATGCATTTTCTCCTTTCCTACTACAATACATTTACATTTATTTATTTTATAATACTTTCAGCTTCATAGAATGTTACATGTATTTTCAAATAATTTTTAACTTGGTTTAATTTTTGCATATTTTAATCTTTTTGCAGGTTATTGAACAATCTCTGAAAACTGTCAAGTAAAGAGTCAGAGCAATTGTAGATACATGCACAGAAAATGAAGAAAAAACTCTACTGAAACCATGGCTTAGATATCAACATAAAATAACTTCTTTTCTCAAGTATATCTCTTTCCCAAGTATTCCAAAAGTGGATCTTTATCAAATTCAAAGTGAAGTATCACAGGGAGCATGTGAGATTGTGAAACAGTCTGCCTACAAAAATTAAAAGGGAGGAAAACATATACAGGTGTACCAAAGATGGCTGCACACTATTGTTCTCTATATATTTTCCCTATGGTTTTCATGTACAGTATTCTTTGTGATTGTTACATGTAAGTTGGGTGCAGTAGTAGACTTCTCCTAACCTTGTGTAGAATTTTACAATTTAAATTCTGAGGTAAAATCCTGTTTTTAGTGTTCATTCAGTTATAGTAATGGGCCACTATCCTTTTTAGCTCACCTGAGCCGAAGGCTCAAGTGAGCTTTTCTGATCACATTTTGTCCGTCGTCCGTCCATCCGTCTAGCTGTCCAGCTGTCCGTCTGTCGGTCTGTAAACTTTTCACATTTTTGACTTCTTCTCAAGAACCACTGGGCCAATTTTGACCAAACTTTGTACAAAGCATCCTTGGGTAAAGGGGAATTTAAATTGTTAAAATAAATTAAAGGGCCAAGTCCCCTCACAAGGGGAGATAATCAAGAAAAGACAAAAATAGGGTGGTCATTAAAAAATCTTCTTCTCAAGAACCACTGGGCCAGAAAAGCTGAAACTTATGTGGAAGCATCCTAGGGTAGTGTAGATTCTAAATTGTTCAAATTATGACCCCCGGGGGAAGGGCGGGGCCACAATGGGGAATCAAAGTTTTACATAGAAATATAAAGGAAAAATCTTTGAAAATCTTCTTCTCAAGAACCACTGGGCCAGAAAAGCTGAAACTTATGTGGAAGCATCCTAGGGTAGTGTAGATTCTGAATTGTTCAAATCATGACCCCCGGGGGAAGGGCGGGGCCACAATGGGGAATCAAAGTTTTACATAGAAATATATAGGAAAAATCTTTGAAAATCTTCTTCTCAAGAACCACTGGGCCAGAAAAGCTTAAACTTATGTGGAAGCATCCTAGGGTAGTGTAGATTCTAAATTATTCAAATCATGACCCCCGGGGGAAGGGTGGGGCCACAATGGTGAATCAAAGTTCTACATAGAAATATATAGGAAAAATCTTTGAAAATCTTCTTCTCAAGAACCACTGGGCCAGAAAAGCTGAAACTTATGTGGAAGCATCCTAGGGTAGTGTAGATTCTAAATTATTCAAATCATGACCCCCTGGGGAAGGGTGAATCAAAGTTTTACATAGAAATAAATAGGAAAAATCTTTGAAAATCTTCTTCTCAAGAACCACTGGGCCAGAAAAGCTGAAATGTATGTGCACATGGAAGGGTCATGGGGTAGTGTAGATTTCAAAATGTCTAAATTATGATCAGTGGGGTAGGGTGGGGGATGCATTATGTATTACAAGGCTTGAAATCTGGTAAAGAACAGAATGGTCAAAGCTTCTCAGGTGAGCGATGTGGCCCATGGGCCTCTTGTTAACGGCTTGATGTCGAAATATCTCTCAGCATTGAATGCTTATCAAATTGTTTTAACCGAATAAAAACGTATCATATTTCCAAAACCAGATTTGTTCTCTTTTTTAAAAAAAAAAACAACCTCTTTTTAGCTCACCTGAGCCAGAGGCTCGAATGAGCTTTTCTGATCAAAATTTGTCTGTCGTTGTCGTCATCCTAAACTGATCACATTTTCATCTTCTTCTCAAGAACCACTGGGTCAATTTCCACCAAACTTGCCACAAAATATCCTTGAGTGAAGGGGATTCAAGTTTGTTTAAATGAAGGGCCAAGCCTTCTACCAAGGGGGAGATAATTATGAATTAATGAAAAATTAATGGCATCTTTTAAAAATCTTTTCAAGAACCATTAGGCCAGGAAAGATGAAACTCATATGGAAGCATCCTTAGGTAGTTTAGATTCAATTTTCTTTAAATCATGACCCCCAGGGTTAGGGTTGGGCTACAATTGAAGATCAAAGATTTACATAAGAATATATAGGCAAAATCTTTGAAAATCTTCTTCTCCAGAACCACTGGGCCAGAAAAGAGGAAACTGGTGTGAAAACATCCTCAGGTAGTCAGGTAGTGTACCAGTAGATTCAAGTTTGTTCAAATCATGACCCCTCAATGGACGATTTAAGTTTTTCACAGGAATGAATACACTGGAAATTTTTAAAACTCTTCTTTTTAAGAACCACAAAGCCATGATTGGTCATATATTTAAGTAAGCATCCTCACGTAGTGTTGATTCAAGTTTAATTGTTCAAGTCATGAACGGGAAGTAGGGGCTGGATAGGATGGGCCATAATTGGGGATCAAAGTTTTGCCTAGAAATATAAAGGAATTTTTTTTCCCAAGAACAGAACAGCCATGTTTAATCATATTGAAATGGAGGCATTCTCAGGTAGTACAAAGTCATACAGGTTCAAATGAGGGCTCATAGGGGTAGTGCTGGACCACAATGGGGAAAGGTCAAATGAATGAATAGGGAAAAAAATCATCTGCGCAGAAACAGCAAAGGCATTTGTTTTATAGAAGCATCATCAGGTAGTTGGTAATTTAAAATTCCAGACTCCAACCACCATGTAAACTTCTCAATACTGAAATGATTTCTGTGTTATTTCCTAGCCAATGTGCTCAGGTGAGCGATGTGGCCCATTGGCCTCTTGTGAATGAAAAGTGTTGCTACTCAAAGAAACGACCTGTGTCAATGAATGTACAGGTGTGTGAAATATGAAAGCACTGGCACAGTCTTGGCTAAAGTTAAATGTGGGTCAGACTCCAAGGTCAAGGTGGAAAGGTGAAATAAAAGGTACAAACGAGAAGGCCTTACAAGCAACACACAAGTGAAATATTAAAGTCTTAGCACCAATTGTTATAAATATATGGCCATGGTTAATGCTTTTCAAAAGTACATCAACATCCAAGATCAAAATGTCAATATTGTTTGTATGTTTGGGGAGCCTTGTTGAATTGAATACAATTATGAAACATAAAGGTCCTAATAGTAACTGCTCAAAAGTTATTCCCAAGGTTAAAAGTGGTAAAATTCCAAGGTGAAGGTCAAAAGGTAAAATATATATTTTATAAATTCATATATCCATGCAAAGTACTTGTCACAGTAACGTAACGGTATGTAACCCGTAGCACAAAATTTCACGCGTTGTAGACAAGGTAAAAATTACCTAAATTCCTCCGAAACTGGTCATACTCCAACGTCAATATATCAAATATTTTGGTACACAATGAAAGATCTTGAGGGAATACATAAATTATGTTGAATATGAAAGCCATAGCCTCAACAATATAAAAGTTATGGACAATGTTAACGTTTTCGTGCACAAATAAACAGAATGGTTGAGAGGGCAAAAACTACATGTATATACCCATATTCTTTGATTACTGGGGCATAAAACATGTAAAACACATAATAAACATACCCCGTAAAACATCTTTACTAAAGAAAAATATTGAAAGCATTTTAATCTAATTTTGTCTTTCCGCTGTCAAATGAAAAATATGCTTTTTAGTCCATTGTCTAAACACTTGAAACACTGAAAGACTTGTTGCTAAGGAAAATTCAACATGGTTATTTCCATGGCAACTACTCAGATATTTTAGAAAAGACTACGATTTATCCCTTTTCTCAATATTGTTTCATATGATGAATAGATGGGGTCTTGTTTGAATATTACAATGTTACGATGTATCACCCTCTGTCTGATCTTAAAAAGACCAGTATTATTATTATAACTCACACGCATAGAACATTATACAGCGTATTATATTAAATGAAAGTTTGAAAGGTTTCCATGACAACTGTGCATGTGCCAATGAACACATTAAAATTTTTTAATGAAATAATCAAATGAATTAATGTTGAGCTAATTGAGTTTTTTTTTACATGAAAATTGAATTTGAAGATCATAATTATGTCTCTTTTTACAACAAAAGCACAATACATGGACATATATAGTTGCTATGACAACTAGTAACACTTATTTAAAAAATCAAAATTCTGCACTAATATGCGATACATGTAGATTGATCCAAATTTTAGTTTTTCCAACAATTTTTAATCCAAAAAATATGTATAATCACAAGTAAATCTATCTTGAAATATTTCTGATGTTGCCATGGCAACGATTTTGAAAGTCAATTAATTTGGATTTAAGAAAAAACACACCTTTTATTTTTTTTGTATGTTTTTCGTTTAGTTCAAATTCACATTATACTTGATTGAGATGAAAATCTGTTGCTGCATTTTTCTTTAATTTATGCTCAAAAATGTATAAAAAATGCATTTTTCAAAAAATGGTCAATTTAGCAAAACATTGAGATTTTAGTGATTAAATTAGATACAATGATGATAGACAAATTTAAATAACTTGCATAATTTTTGTTGCTTTCAGTCTTGTTCTTAAGCAGATATATTTATTTCATATTTGAATTTTTCGGTTGTTTAATTATTTTTGATTAAAAAATGTCAAAAACAGTGCTGTGAGAGCCGTCTAGGAGGCCATATTTGAGCCATGTATGGTTACCATGGTAACGGAACCCCCAATTAATTTTTTTTTGCTAAATTTCAAGAAAGGGTGTTGAATAAGTAATATATATAAAATTTGATCAAAATCGGTGACATCACCTTACCACCCATTATTGAGAAATTTTGGTTCTTATAGAGAATGGCTCTTAATATGAATTGTTTACTTATTAAAAATATATAGACTTGGTCAATTCTCATTTTCAGGTTCCAATCTGAAGTATACATAGGAAGAGCAAAATCTTTCTCATTCATATAAACACTTACTACCTGTGATCCAGAAAAATATCCTGATTGTTTAGTCCAACATAAGATGGATTTCAATCTGACACGTTATTCTGAAAAATTGAGTGAACAGTGCAGGCATGTCTTTGTTTCAATATCTCGACTCCGCATGGTCATCAAAACTTTGCACTCGTTGTGAATTATTCAACCTATAAAAACATAATTTTGTAAACAATAAAAGTATAATCAAATATTCTATGCTTCGGTTATAATTACATTTTTTTATCAATGTTTGTTTATTCTTTCAAATGGTGAGATTGTGCGGTATTAAAGGTACTTAGACACAGATTTGCAGTTAATATTTTCTGTAATTTTCTGTAAAATATTACGAGCCACATCACTTATAATTACCTGAATAGCTTTGATGATACAGTTCTTCACCAGATTTCCCCCTTGTTATACCTTTTGTGACCCAACCTAACCCCTGGAGTCATAATTTGAACAATTTAAAATCTACACTACCCCACAATGATTTTGCATAAGTTTCAGCTTTGCTTGCCTAGTACTGGTAATGCCCAAGAAGAAGATTTTTTTTATAGATTTTTCTTGTATATTTCAATGTAAAACTTGGGTTCCCTATTGTGGTCCCACCCTACCCTGAGGGTCATAATTAAAATAATTTAGAATCAACACTACCCTAGGATGCTTCTGCATAAGTTTCAACTTTTCTGGCCCAGTGGTTCTTTGGAAGAAGACTACGAATGCTGAGGGAAAATGTAACATGTATACACATCTGACAGGTGCTGAGCTTCAAAAAATCATTCTCAATACATGTATTTAGAAGAGACAGGATATTTTGAAGATCTTGAATATTATGGTAAACTTACTGCCCTTGTTATGCAAATCATCTTTACTTTAGTCAAATGTTTCTGGTCTGCTCCTCTCTTTATACTGCAGTGGCTAAATCAAGCTTAACATTGCTGAAAGAAGAGGAAGTGTCATAAAAGAATTTCATTATAAACTATAGTGTTCCAAGGAACACATATATCACCTGCTTTTAGCTTCTTTAAAGATGTACGAGGGCTGTTCGGAAATTATTGAGACAATTACATTTACTCCATAGAGGACGGAGATAATTTCATGAAAATTCATCAAAATTTTATAAAGAAAGTATAAAATAATTATGCAAAATTTCTAATTCCTATGATAATAAGAAAAGTTTCGATGAATTGATAAACATGCATATGTCTATCGACCCGCAGCAGCATCGCTACGCCATTTAACGTCACGTCACCAGGAGATGGTTTTGCATGTAAAACGATCGCAAAGCGTGTAATACTTTTCCTTCTTTGTTATTACATATAACTTTACAAAAATCAACAAGTCTCTTTTCTCAAACTATTCTTTAAAATTGTATGGCATTGCTACCCCAGTGTAAAATTTTCATTTGTGGGAAAGGATGACTTATAGAATCATGCAGTGCCGATTTATGCAACGCGGGTCAACGAAATAAATACCGTAACGATATTAATATCGTACGTAATAACTGATGGTTGTCCGGAGCTTTTGATTTTACTCTGGTTGAATTAATTGTAAAAAAAAATGTATATCAATGAAATAAAAAAAAAAACCCAGCACATTATTTTTTTTCTCGTTGTTATTCTTTTAGCAGGTCGTCCAGTCTGGAAAAGAGTTCTACATTGCGATACACAAAATTTTAGATATGCTGGCTGCTCCGCCCTTGACGTCAAAATCCATTTTTTCGTTCTTTGCAGATTTATCTACCGCGCTTAGTTTTTTAATGATCTCCGTATTTGTGATCAAAATTCTAACAAAGTTGCACAACATGAATTTGAAATAAAGTTGAAAAATTATACAAATAAAACTGAATTATTTTCGCTATTATTATGGGTCCACGAAGAGTTAGAACGTTGGTGTTACATATTTTCGATATCTGATTTCGTGACTGCTCCGGGTACCCCTACTATTGACGCATTTATGTAGCATTGTACAGAAAATATTTAATATTTGTAAAATATTTTTTGCTTTTATTAATTCTAAGTGTATGTCAAACGTACATGCAAAATTTCACTCAAAGACGTTCATTAGAAAGCAAAATACACGCAGTGTCTCAATAATTTTCGAACAACCCTCGTATCTATAAAATCTAAGAGTGGTCAGCTATTTTTATGCTACTAGCATATACAGAATGCAACCCTCAACTGAATAATTAAGTTGAAATCATCATAAATAATTATTTATCATTTTACAGAGTTTCCCAAAACTATCGGTCCTACCGGCAAAACCGATAGAAAATCGAAATGTCCGATGAAATTCGCTACAGTACCGGTCCGTGTGACCGATTGTGGTGAGGGCTTGTCCTGATTAATTTATTGTGCTCTAATGTATTGCAATATCTTCATAAATGTAAATTTGCAATGCAGTAAGCTCCTATTCTTCGTTAATACCCATAATCTTATCCATTTTGCAGTTCTACTTGACTTATTTACTTCCAAAAATGATCGTTTTTTCCTAATCCGAATTTCCTCCATTCCTCTGTTGGTAAACGCATGCAGTATATACAGGTCGAAAAGTGCAATGCCCAGTAAGAAAACGTAAAGATAATTTAAAATTTATTTCTAATTTCTACCATAACTGCTATTTATATATGATTCAATTTTACAAGTGAGAATTAAACTTTAAATGTTAAAAAGAATTCTAGAAACCTTGAGAAGTTTTTTTTCTCAAGAATTAACTTTTTTTTATAATTAGGGGAAAGTGTTGATATTTCGGACACTTCAGAATGCTTTTTCGGAAATACTTGGCATTTACCGCTAAATGTAGGCATGCTATACACCGTTCGATGCAGAAAACCTTCCGCTACTT